ATTGTGCTTTAGGGTTTGCAAAGAAAATACTTATTTTTAACAACTCTGTGAGGTAGATAGTGCGTGTTGTTATTATAGATATAGAGATGATATTATAGATATAGATATAGATATAGATATAGATATAGATATAGATATAGATATAGAACAAATTGAACAACTCCTGCATTCATTCCCCTAGACCATAATGTGTTTGACTCTGTGCCTTGCTCAATAATATTTGTCAATGAACTGATTTGTGGGCTGTCTGTTGATGGAACAAAAAGCAGGGGGAAAAATGACCCAATGAGGCTTTCTGTTCCTTTTATTTATTTCCCTCTTTCTAGCAAAGGTGCTAATGACCAGTGAAATGTCCCAGAGGCAGCTAACCACCAGGAAACAAGGGATCCAGATAATCCATAGGGTTGAAAATTGGAAAGTAAATTACAGGATTAGCCAAGTATCCCAAAACAACCAAGGACAGCTCCCCTCCTCCCTTCCTGATAGATTTTTGGGTCAGCAGTAGGGCTGAGCTGTGAAGGGGTATAGGATCAGACAGATGGAAAAGAAGGCATGAGTATGTGTGTGGGTCTTCTAATCTTTTTTTTCACATATGAATATCTGACCTCAATTGAAAGTCAATTTCAAGTAATGTTTTGTTATCACTTATTCGATATTATGCTTCTCCTTTCCTTTATTAGTGTAGAGATGAAGAGTTGATTACTTGCAAAAGCTAATTGCTCTATTTGGACTCAATTGGAATCTTAATTTTAGAATCCTCAACTTTACATGAAAATAGTTTTAAAGGAATTGAAGTAATCAAACACATAGCTCTCCACAACACAGATACAAATCTACTCTTTAAAAAGAAATAGATTTTTCATTTTAGTACTAGATCCTTGTATTCACAACTGTAGCAGCATGACATAATTTATTCTTCTACCTCCATTTGATGAGAACAATAGGAAGTTACTTAAATTTGGGACTAGAAATGGTATTAATGGTTTGGATATGGTTTGGATATTGTTTGGACTAGATAAATGAATGAACAAATGAATTAATGAATGAAAAGACATTTATTAAGCATGTACTATATGCCAGATATTGTGCCAAATGCTGGAGATACAAATCCAAAAAGCAAAATAGTCCTTGCCTTCAAGGAGCTTACATTCTAACAATGGAAAACACTACATATAAGGGAGTGATGTCTAGGGATGGCAAAAATGAATCAAATTCCTTGCCTTGGCATTCAAAACTCTCCACAATTTGATTCTAATGTATCTTTGCAGTCATTAATTCTCCTTCATGTATACATTCCAGCCAAATCATACTACTTACTGTACCCTAGTCTCTTCCCCTTTTCTTACGTCTCCATGGCTTGACTCACACTCTCTCCCATCCAACTTTATTGTTGCAATGGGACACTATTGACTGTAGACAAATACAAAGTCAACTAGTTGTCAGTCAGCAAGCATTTATTAAACACAATATGTCACAGGCACTGTGCTAAGTGCTAAGAATATAAAGAAAGGTAAAAACAGTCCCTGCCCTCAAGGAGCTTATACTTTAATGGGAAAGACAACTAGTAAAGAAATATATGCATGTATATATGTGTGTGTATATATATATATGAGTGTGTGTATGTGTGTCTGTATTTATGTATATATACACATGACACATACACATATATACACATACACATACATATACACATACATATATACATACATATATACATACATATATATGAATATGCATATATTGTGTGGATTGACAGTAATCATAGAGGATAAGGTTCTGCTCTAGTAGCTGAGAGCACCAGGGAAGGCTTCCTGCAGAAGGTCCGGGGCTTGAGCTGAGTCTTCAAAGAAGCCAGAGATTCTAAAGGGCAAAGGTGAGGAGGGAGAATATTCCCGGCTGGGGAACAGCCAGTGCAAAGACATGGAAATAAGTGATGGTGATAGCTGTACCAATGCTGCTATTTCAGGTACTTCTTCATGCCAACAGCTTCGTTTTTTTCTCTTCTCAAGGCACTAAGTTTTATCTTGGCTTCATCCCTCTGTCTTCACTTTATTCAGAGGGAGGGCAATGATCACATCCTGCTATCTACAATGTTTCTAGTCATAGAAAGCTGCCTGTTGAACATTTTCACATGGAGACATCTTAAACTCAACATGCCTAAAGCTGAACTCATTTTCTTTCCCTCTCAACCCTCTCTTATTCCAAACTTCTCTATTTCTGTCAAACGCATTGCCATCCTTCCACTGTCTCAGGTTCATAATCTCAGCAATATTTTTGATTCTTTATCTCACCCCACATATCTAATCAGTTGCCAAATCTTGTCATTTCTATCTTAACAATATCTTTTTCATCCAATCTCTTCTTTCTTTACAGTTACCACTTCAGCTCAAGCTCTCATGACTTCTCAACCAGATTGTTACAAAAGCCTCCTTTTTGATCTCCGTGCCTTAAGCCTCTCCCATCTCCGGTCCATTCTACACTCTGTTGCTAAGTAATTTTCTTAAGCACAGATCTGACAACATGACTTCACTACTCTATCAACTGCAGTGCCTTCTTATTGCCTGTAGAACAAAATATTAGCTCCTCTGCTTAGCTTTTACAGCCTTACACAACCTGATCTCAACCCACTTTTCCATTGGACATTACTACCCCTCCCACATTCTGGGATACATTGACACTAGCCTTCTCTCTATGTTTCATTCATGACACCATGCCCCATTCTACTCATCTCTACATCCTTGTTGTGGTGATCCCTTATGCCTGGAATGCATTCTATCCTTGCCTCTGCCTCACAGAGTATACTCTCTTCTTTTAAGATGCATCACAGACATCTTCTGCATAAAGCTTTTCCTCCAACTGCTCCAAACTACTTTGTATTTAACTATTTTCTGTGTATAGATATAAACATAGACTTGTAGATAGATATAAAGATATGACATAGAAATAGACATAGATATAGCTATGCATATGTAAGGTGTCCCAAAAGTCTTAGTGCTGTTTTAAGCTTTAATAGCGCTAATAAGCTTAAAATTGCATTGACTTTTGTTGTTATTCAGTCACTTATCAGTCATGCCCAATTCTTTGTGATCCCATTTGGTGTTTTCTTGGCAAAGATACTGGAGTGATTTGCCATTTCCTTCCCCAACTCATTTTACAGATAAGGAAACTGAGGCAAAAGGGGTTAAGTGACTTGCCTAGGATCCCAGAGCTAGTAAGTCTCTGTAGCCAGATTTGAACTTGGGAAGACTCATCTTCCTGACTCCAGGCCTAGCACTCTATCCACTATGCCACCTACTTTGCACATACTAAGTGCTTAATAAATATTTTATTCATTCACTTGATTCAAGTTGTATTTGATTAGATTTGATATTCAACATGGTTTTGGTGGGGGAAATGCTTTTAATATGACTACAGAAGCTAGGTTTGAATCCTATTTCTGTCACCTACTACCTAGGTAACATTGAGCAAATTCTTTCACTTCTTTGGGTGTGTTTCTTTATCTGTGAAAGGAAGAAGCTGTATTGGACTAGAGGCCTCAGAGCTCTCCTAGATCTGTGATTTTATCCACTATTTTACCTAGTTTATGTCACTAATTAATTCTACATCATCTGCTTGCTCTTGATTCCCAGAACAGAAGAGAAAACTTTCCCATCTTCTTAAGCCTCATATAATTTTTCAATTCAAAATGAACCCATCCAGAAGAAGAATCTGACTTTTCTACACTGCTGTTAAAAACTTCATTATCACATCACTGCATTACACACCGGGAGAGAGACTAGGTCAAAGACAAATGGAATGGAATCTATGTGTACAGCTACTCTCTGCTCCCCTTATGCATCACCACTGCCCTGGACTCTAGGTCCTGTGCCCAGATGCACTCAAAAATAGTTTAACCCTGACAAGAACCTCCTAATTATCTACTTAACTGCTTAGCAGGATGAGTGTTGATTTATACCCAACAAATAGTAAGGAAATACAGGTAGTCTCTGATTTGTATGCATAGTAAATCCTCAGAATGAATCTCCGCATGTATTAAAATTTGCACTATTCACTAACTCTAATAATGTGATCACTCCAAGCAGATTCACTATTCATGTTAATAGGGACCCAGCTAGACTATTTTCATTATACCCTATCTATCTTATATATAGCTTGCTTTGCATATATTTGTTTGTATGTTGTCTCCACTATTAGATTGTAAGCTCCTTGAGGACAGGAACTAGCTTTTGCCTCTTTTTGTATCCCCAGAGCTTAGCACAGCGTGTAGCACATAGTAGACACTTAATAAATGTTTATTGGTTGATTGATTGAATATAGGATAAAAGTTTGTCAATCTAGTTATTTTAGGGGCATTTATTTTCAGTCACAGAATATGATAACTGGAAGGGATCTTAGGGATTATGTAGTCCAGCTCCCTTGTTTACAAATTAGGAAACTGAGGTACCAAGTGGGGAAGTGATTTAGCCAGGGACTCAGTGTGAATTTGCAGCAAAGCTTCTGTGCAGGGTAAAGAAATTATCCTGTTCTTGAGTTCATGGAGCTGTGGTATGCTACTATACTGTACATAAAGTTGCAGAAAGAAAGTGTTTTCCAGATCTTAGTTTTTAAATTAGTCTCCATCTTCTAAGGATGTTGTTTCTCACTGTGTTGGTCACAGTGATTGAAAATGTATTGGCATCTATAACTCCAAATCTTAGTACCTCTCAAACTTGTTCTTCATTTTCAAAGAGCACCAATGATATTATGGGGTCATGTCTTGACTTGAGCATGAATTGAATTTAAGTGAGGCAGAGTTGCACAAAGTCTGTCAGCGTCACTCTTCCAGAATCATCAAAGTCCATTGACAGGGCAAAAGTCAAGATGCCTGGTGATGACCTGGGGTACAGTGAATGACCTTGGCAACTTCAATGTCTGACTAAGCTCTAAGCTCTCCACAGTGCCTGCTTCAGTCACTTTCATGGCATTTGTAACAAACTGTTTTCATCTGCCCATTCCACCAGGAGAAGTCTTCACATCCTTGGGGTAGACCTCCACCTAACTCATCAATGGGTTTGAAGCCTGTCTGTTACTCTCAACCTGGTTTAGTCTGTGTGCCAAGAAGGTTTTATCAAGGTGTTGCTGCTTGCCATGCTACCACTTTTTGGAGCCACAGGTGAGAGTTGAGTGCCAGGTGGATACCAAAGGTGCGTGAGCAGGCCTGAAAAGCTCTTGACAAACCCTCCTCTCTGAATATCCCGTACACCCCTCAAAGTATTCGTATGTGGAATGCTGCAAGAAGGACTTCCCAATTAGTCATGAGAAGGGTAAGCTCAGTGCTTTTTTCATGACCAGGTCGTTAGGTCTCTCAAGACCTATCTTCCAGGGGGCCTTTTCCAGTCCCTTCCTGCCCTTGAGGCAGCTAGGTGGGGCATTGGATGGAGCATTGGGCCTAGAGTCAGGAAGATATAAATTCAAATCTGGCCTCAGGCACTTATTAGTTGTAGGACAAAAGGCAAGTCACTTAACCTTTGCCTGCCTCAGTTTCCTCAATTATAAAAGGAACAGCATAATAACACTTAACTCAAGAGATTGATCAAATAAGATAATATGGCTCATTGTAGGTGGTTCCCTTTCCCACCTCTTTCCCTTTGAGATTATTTTCCATTATCTATCTATAGATCAATCTGTATCTTATATATACTGCTCCTTATTTTTGTCCATCTTTGTATCCCTGGTACTAACTAAGCAGGTTCCCAACATCTAGTAAGTGCTCAATAAATATTTGCTGACTTACTGAATTTCAAGACTGGGATTATATAATTGCTTCCTGTAGTCTGTCAGAGCTAGAGAGCCTGATGCCTGTCTGTCCCTAAAAGTATCCAAATGCATGAAAATGAACCATAAAGAGGGTAGAGAAATCCAGAGTGTCCACTGCTTGCTGGGCCATCTCACTTGGCTGCCAGCCCACCCTGGGGCTCTTTCCCTTCTGCTCTCTGTTTCCTCTGAGGTGCTCTCCCTCTGGAGTAGGCCCTGTGGTAATTTCACACTGTCCTCTAATAAAGTCCTCAGAGGCTGTCATGTATTTCCATGCATTGTCCCTATTATCTCTCCCTGCTTAAGCCTTGCAGATAATTGATGATGCTTTAGTTAATTATCTCCCTTCATCTCTTTTGTTCACCAGGTACCTCCTCCTTGAAGGGGATCCCTTTATTGAGAATCTGTGTCTTCTCCTGGGTAATTGATCACTCTGCACCCAGGGACACCCAATTCATAGTTGAGGAGGAGTAATCATCATGAATGATCAAAAAGCCGTGGCTGGGCTGCTGCAGGAGTGCAAACAAGCACTGGACACACTCTCATGGGGATTGGGGAAGGAAGACAAGACACAGTATGAGCAGTGCCAAGGTGAGATCTGAGGGAAGGGGACCAGAAGGGAGTCCACTGGTTCCGTGTTCTCACCCGGTCCTTGCGTGATGCCCGTCCTCCTCCCCGTCCCATTTATCTGTCCTTGGCAGATGAGCAGTGAGAGATGGCTGGATTTCTGGGGCATGAATGGGACGTGGGCTGCAGGCAGGCAGGGGAGGAAGCCCACTTTGTTGAAGTGAATTGCTGTCAGTTCCAATTTTAGGCTCCAGTAAACATGAGACCACAAGGAACAGTTTAGTTCAAGAGGAACAATGGCCCCAAGTTTGCTGCTGCACATAAATTTTAATTATTAAAAAAATGAACTTCTGAGTGGCGCCACTTCTTAAATAAAAAAGACCAACAGCAAATAAACTTCAGAGTTTGTGCCTCCACTTGAAGATTTCTGAAGTTTCAGTTTACGTTTCATGCCCCAAGCCCAATCCCTCTTTTGAAGGGCATCAGTTGATTTATATACTAATGTTTTAATGACACAAAGAAATAAGGAATCAATCAACTCTAATACATAGTGAAAATTTTATATGTGGAATGAATACCGTGAAAACTATCGGTTGTGCCATTATTTTGGTTTGTGTTCAATTTCTTATTCTGAAAAAGTTTGTGGGAGAAAAGGTGTGATTTTAAATCAGAAAGTATAAAAAGTGACTTCTTACATATTCTCTCTCCAGTTATAAGAGCGACAACCCACTTTTAGTCTGCCTTGGTCTTTCTCTGATCCCATCAACATGATTGTGTCATTGTCTCCTCATTCCTTCCTTTTTTACCCTTTCTTTTTTTTTCTTTTGGGTGAATTTGATACTTTTTTTGTAAATAGAAAGACATGTTAGACTCACACTATATTCCTATTTTTGTTATTCTGCAATGGCTACAAAGTAGTGTGAGAGATTTTAAACATTATACATATGTATATTGATGCATGTATAATGATTTGGGCACCTTTTTCTAATGCAAGATTCTTTGTCTATTTTTATGTCTCAATTTTTTGTGACCTGCCTTTTGTGTTCTTTCAATATAACATGCTCTATCACCAGTCATTTGTCAACTTGAGTTAGCATGTCTCAGTCAGGAGTATTAATCAGGCCATTATCTAAAAACACACTTATTGCTCTGGGATATGCATTTTCATGCAAGCATCCCCTTGGCCATCACTGACAGGTCCCCTGGTCTTTAAAAACAGACTGAGTAGCTGTCCGTGGTTCTCTCCATGGGCAGCATGTAATGTTCTGTCATTGATGCTGACGCCTTTTTTTCTCCATAGGATACTTTTCCTCCTTGTAACAAATTCTTTTAAACTTTGTGTTCTCCTTTTAGGGGATACCCTGAACCCCTTAATCAGGTATAGCTTTTTCTTCTTCTCTTTCCTCTCAAATGCCACAGAATGGGAGAAATAATCAGTTTAGTTCCAGATAATGCAAATCTACACTTTATAATCATGAAATTAGACACGGTCCTTCAGGTAAGGAACTTAAGGAAGTAGTCAATCAAAAGGCAAGGGGAGGCTGCTACTTATGCTGAAAACCGCTGCCCTGGGCTGGTTGAATAGAAGAAATGGAAAGAAGGAGCAAGCATCTCTGCAGAGCCTGAGACAGTCTTCTTAATAATGGAGCACAATTGCCATGCGTGGACATGCCACTGGAGGGCATGGATTGGCGGGGAGGCCGGCTGGGCTCGCATGGCAGATCCCTTCTCCTCTGGCAGGTGGTTTCTGAACAGCCCTAGCAGGCGGATTGTGCTCACTGATTTCATCAAGCCTGCATGTGCGACAACAGAATGGCATTAGTACAGGGTCACTTATGGCAGCAGTTTGAGCCAAAGGGATTCTCTGAACACAAACACAGCCCTTTTTATTCCTCTTTTTCCGCCCTCCCCCCCAATCCCACTCTTTCCCTCAGATATTGTTCTTGTCAGCATGGGCAAGTCTCCCCAAAGAGATTTAAAAGGGGAAAAAAGGAACTGAAAGCCAAATACATAAGTGGAAAAGGCTTATTCTGGGGATTTTCCCCCCATTTTGGTATTTCCCATTGGACTTTGCTGATAGAGAGCTTAGAGAAAGGTTGATATGGAGGAGGCTAGAATGAGATGGGTCCTGTCCCATTAAAATGTTTTTGTATTTCTTCAAAACTACTCAGTAGTTCATAGGTGTGTGGAAATCATATGCCACCTCAAATCACAGATGGGTACCAAGTACTGTTACCTAATATTTGATTCCACAAAAGAATATTCTTAACAAAAAAGGAAAGTCAGACCCACATGAGAAATATTTCCAGAAATTGATGGCAAAAAAAAAATTGATGGCATTGGTTTTAAAGTTTTTGGGTTTGGTTTTTTTGTTTTTTGTTGGTTTTTTTTTTTTTGCTCATAAGCCAACATTTTTTTTCCTGAGGAATCAAGGCAGTCTGCATATTTAAGATGGCAGCATTATGGGAGGCTTGTGCATGTGCCTTTTCCTTCAATAAGACCAGCTGTTTTTGTTGAGTTTTTTTTCAGGTTCAAGGGTCTAATGTGCTTTGAGTTTTGTTTATACTATAGCTCCCATACTGCATGAGCTGGACAATTCATCTACAATAATATAACATCCAAAATTTTGCAGCACATCTAGTGAAACCCAAGGCCTGCTATGATGCTTTGGTCCATCCTTTGAGAACCACTCTTATACAGTATGTAAGGTTCTTAAGTCTCAGCTGTAAATGACTGCATACCCTGGATTTTATACCTTATTCAAAAGAAACAGAGTAGATAAAAGGGGAGGGTGGTGTAGCAATGTATATTAAGGTGTTATTTTCATACCAGGAAATCCAGGAATCAAAGAAGGAAAATATAGAAGGAAAAGGGAATATGCAATAATATAGTGCCTACTATTTATCAGGCACCATTCCAATTGCTTTACAAATAGTATCTCATTTTATCTTCACAACAATCCAGCAAGGGAGATGCTATTATTATGCCCCATTTTACAGTTGAAGAGACTGAGGCAAACAGAGGCTAAATGACTTGTCTAGGGTTACACAGTTACTAAGTGTCTAAGGCCAAATTTGAACTGAGGTCTTCCTAACTCCAGGCCCAGGGCTCTATCCCCTGTACCACCAGCTGCCTCTATAGTAGAAGTGAATATCAAAGGAGGAAAAAAAAGAGTAAGTTTGTCATTGGCATATACTACAGATCACCTGGACAAAAAAGAGGGAATAGATTAGGTGTCCAGAAAACAGATCACTGGCCTGGCATAGAGACATGATATAGCAATGGGGGGTAGTGAGATGCTGGTAAATATTTAATAAGTAGCTTTCCAGGAAGGGGTGTATGCACAACACATACATTTATGTCTACGCAATCTACTTTATTAACATTTTCCTTTCACTTTTTAAAGTCTAGACTATGAAGAAAACAGCAAATTAAGCCCTGGTGTATAACTATTGCTGATTTCTGAGATATAAATACTCACATGGAAAATTGGCCTCAGGAATCAGTTTTTGAGGGCTCTAGAATGCATCTGGGGATGGAAAAACTGCATTTACTCTGACAAAAGCAGAGCAACTAACAACTTCTTGATTTGCCCTAATGATAATGGAGGAAGAAACAAGGTGAAATTTCATTCTGCATCTAATTCTCAGTCCCATGGAGGAACTGATTGTTAGAGTGAAAATAATGGCAAATACTGGGCAGGGTAAGTGGGGATGAGGAAATAACCACCTTACCATAGGGTTGATGATAGAGAATGAGAGACAATCTGGGCATAATCTGACATGGACCTTAGATTTTAGGAAAGCAGGTTTCAAAGAGTTCAGAGGAAAGAGGAAATCAATCTAGGAGGGATGGAAGATGCTCAAGAATGAAATTCTGAAGAGAAGAGGGAAAAAAATGGAGTTTATGTGAAGGGACCAATGTGGATGCACAGGGAACTCACCAAACAACTTAGATTTTTTTTTAAAAAAATGTACTGAAGCTTGAAGCAAGACCTAGGAATTAGTCCTATAAAAATAACGATAGGAATGCTAAAGCTCTGAGTGAGCTAGGGTTAGTGAGAAAAGCTAAAGACAATAAAAAGGGGTTTTTTTGGTTTTGTTTTGTTTTGAGAAAACCAAATGAATCATCAGAAGGATAGGATTTTTGCTGGGAGTGGATGGGACAATGATAACTGGCAATAGGAAGAAGGCAGGGTTCAATCTTAATTGTCTGTTTCCTCTTCAAAGGTTAATGACCTTTACACTGTAAATGACGGAACAAAAATGACCACCCTGGAGCTAATATCCAAGACAAGTGAGGAGATAGTAAGAGGGCACTTAACTGCCTTTGATAATTCAAGTCACTGCACCTCATTGAACTGTATTCTGGGTCCTGAAAGAGCTGGTAGATATGATTGCTGAGCCACTGCCAGGGATATTTGAAAAACAGTGAAAGGCAGGAGAGGTCCTGCAATATTGTTGTTCAGTTCTTTCAGTCATGTCCAACTCTTTATGACCCCATTTGGAGTTCTCATGGAGTGGTTTGCCATTTCCTTCTCCAGCTTATTTTACAAATGAGGAAACTGAGGAAAACAGGGTTAAGTGACTTGCCCAGAGTCACACGGCTAAGAAGTGTTTTTCAGTCATGTCCGACTCTTCATGGTCCCATTTGGGGTTTCCTTGGTAAAGATCCTGGAGTGGTTTACCATTTCCTTCTCCAGATCATTTTACAGATGAGGAAACTAAGGCAAACAGGGTTAAGTGACTTGCCCAGGGTCACATAGCTAGGAAGTGTCTGAGGCTGGATTTAAATTCAAGTGACTCCAGGCCCGGCGATCTATCCACTGCACCACCTAACTGACCCCTAGCTGTCCGTATTGAATTAATAATTACTCTTTAAACCTATCTATCCAACCAGAAACCAGACAATATCTTTGCCAAGAAAACCCCCAATAGGATCACAAAGACTCAGACACAACTGAAGAACAAAAGGTAGAGCAATGAACACAGCATTGAGTCTACAGTCAGAAAGACCTGGGTTCAAATCCAGCCTCAGACACTTATGAGCTGTGTGACCCTGTCTGCCTCAGTTTCTTCAACTGCAAAAATGAGGATACCATTAATACCTACCTCTCAGGGTTGTTGTGAGGATCAATTTAAATAATATTTGTAAAGTTCCTGGCACAGGGTAGACACTTAACAAATATTTGCTTCCCTTCCTTTGGCAACTCTGAGTCCGAGTTTCTTCATCTATAAAATGAAAGGATTGAGCAAAATGATCTCTCTCATCCCTCTTCCATCTCCCTGCCTCTGTCTCCCGTTGCTGGAGCACCTTGGCTCCCCATCTCAGCCTCCTGGAATCCCCGACTTCTTTCAACACTTAAAATATTCCTTTGAGCTCTGGCTACACTTTCCCGTAGGAGACTTTTCCTGATCTCCTTATCTGTTTAGTGGCTTCTTCTCCAAGGTTATCTTGTACCTACTTTGTCTTTTGTACGTCTAGGCGTGATTTTTCCTCTCAATAGTACGTAACCTTCTTGAAAGCAGGGACTGTTTCATTTTTATCTTTGTATCTAACTCCAGTGCCTAGCACAGTGGCTGGCAACATAGTTGATGCTTAAAAAGTACTTTTGATGAATCAATTCTACACCACTTCCCCACCCCCCCATTCCCTAATCCTATGGCAGTCTTCAGTCTTGATTACTCTCTTTCAAATCTGATTTGTGAATTTTTGGTCTTCGATTTCTTTTCTTCCTTTTCTTTTTTCTTTTTTTTTACTTTCTCTATCCTGACCCATTGTTAGTGAAAGTATGGAATACACTAGGTAAGAATGGGTTGGATGAGTAGGTTCATTCTCTTTCTTGTCCCTCTAGCCACTTGACCCCCACCCTCCCACCCCATGCCATTCTATTCCTCATTTGACAACGAAAATAGTATTTCCGCTGTTCCTTTCTCTGGTTCTTCATGCAAAGGTAGTCACTGGAGTGCTTTGCTTCCTGCTAAAAACACTTTTTAATGCCTGAGTACCCCAATTTACCTGTAGGGCAGAGCAGAGGAAGGCAGCCCCTGACAGCTAGTTTCTCATTATTACTCTTTGAGTGAGAAACAACAGCTTGTAGCATGTGAGGAGAAGCTGAGAGGGAGGAGGGAGGTTGTTTTTTTTCTAGCAGAGGTGCTTCATCATAACATGAGTGACTGGGCTGCCTTTTCTTTGTCTGCAATTTCCTTACCTGAACTCTGACCTTTTCAGCTTCACTCCCCAGCGAGTTAAGGACCCTAATCCAAGAGGCCAAGGAAATGAAGTGGCCCTTCGTGCCAGAGAAGTGGCAGTACAAACAAGCCGTAGGGCCCGAAGACAAAACAAATCTTCAAGATGCGATCGGCGCCAGGCTGCATGAGTTACTGGTAGGGATCTCCCACCACCTGTTCCTTTAAAACCCACAAGGGTAACATTTTGAGAATCTAAAAAATGTCTCTTGAGATCAGATTTCTCGAAGCACAAGTCACCTCCATCCCTTATGGTGGCTTTGCCAGACTTACTAATGAGAGGAAGTAGCTATTAGAAAAAGACTGATCATCCAGAAGTCTGTCCATGGGAAACCTGAACAACACCTAAGGGAATGGCAGTCATAAAGCTCACCTACAACCAATTATATCGCAGCATTCATAGGTCCATTAAGATGCTAGAAATAGTAGATTGGATTCTATTGTTTCTCATATAGTTTTGTTTTGTACTTTCCTCAATTTGACTATGGTTAAAAAAATCCGCAGTACTTTTAGAAGTCTTGTTGCTTTGGGGGCTAAGGGAAATTTTGCCTTTAACTTATGCCCTCCTATGCAAATACTAGCCAAGCTAACCCTGCTCAGTCTCTGAGACCAGGCTTGCTCAGGATGCTATGGTCATATGCACTTTATCTCAAGTCTCGATGTCATTTGAGTCTCCTATCCCCTTTTCCTTCCTCATCAATGCAGGAAACTGCCTCTTTATGAGTTCCAGAATGACCAACATGTTTATTCTTCAGTCATTGAACTCAATCCTAGAAACTTCAATATGAACATGGATGTACAATGCTGGAGCACACTTATAACACTACTCTGGGTGATAATAGGTTTCATTATCACACACGAACTCAGTGTAACAGGGAACTGGCCAATGGGAATACAGTCCTTGAAGCATGCAAGATATCTTTTGCTTAGTATCAATTTATATGGAAACTTGATAAGCACACTTCCTGAAATGTATGATGTGATGGAGAAAAATTTCTCCACTGATGTGCATGTGCAGCTATCCTGTTCCCTGTTGGCTTACTCTATGGTGATAAAAAGCCTTCCAATTAATTGCTGAATGGAATTATGTGTGAATTCAAAAGGCTTTGGGTGGGGAAACTTAACCTCTCTCTCTCTTCTTGGCAGCATTTAAGGGAGGAAGAAGAAATGCCATATGCCTCTAGGTGTGAAGAGAGGCATTAATTGTGGCCAACTGCCTATCTCCCCACCTAAGTTGTCATGTGTCCGTGAACACATGGCACTGTTGTTTTTGTCTCCCTCATGTTTATTCCTCCTTACTCTTTAGGTGACTGGGTATTGAAGGTGGAATAAATAGACCAGGTCAGAAACTTGTGAGCTTCAACATAGCAGTGTCTGTTGACTTGATAAGGAGTCAGCTTGGAGTCAGCTTGACCCAGCCCAGCAGTGACTTGATCTGGCAGCCAAGACACTGCACCTTACAAGTAAGGAAGTGATTCATCTATCAGCTCTGCCAGGCCCAGAAGTGAACCTTCCAGGAGGAATGTTTAGTAGTAGCCGATTGATTTTTCAGTCCATTCTCCCCAGGGACTGAGGTGGCTCTTCTAACAAGATGGTAGCCTGGTGCGTTGAGTCTTCAATACTCATTCGCCTAAGAGAAGGAAAACAGTAACATGCACCAGCACTACATAGCAGCATCATGTTTAGGAGCCTCCTGATGACCAAGTGGGCAGATAAGTTAGGACAAACAGCTGCCTCATCACCTCCACCTGGAGGCTTACAGCAGGTCTTCCTCAGTTGCTGGAAAGCCACCAGGGAGAGAGGGACCTTTCATCTGTTCAAGTTTTTTGTATTTACTCTCATTTCTAGTTTAGCAGCCAATTAGGTGAAGGGAAATGGATAGGTATTACATAGCACCTACTATGTGCTAGGCACTGTGCTAAGCACTTTAAAAATACTATCTCATTTGATCCTCACAACAACCTGTGAGGTAGGTGCTGTTATTATCCCATTTTATAGTTGGCAAAACTGAATTAAACTTAAGATAAGTGACTTGCCCAGGATCAGACAGCTAGTAAGTGTCTAATGCCACATTTAAACTGAGGTCTTGACTCCAGGACCATTGCTCTATCCACTGTGCCACCTAGCTGCTTCTAGATTTTTCATCACCATGGAATAAACTGACAGGAAACAGAATAACTATGAATACTCTGAATCAGGGCAAGGGCCCTCCGTTGTATCATGAATTTCTGGAAACAGACTCACTGAGCTTCCACATGAGTGAAACCAGGAAGAACACACCATGCTCACTCTAAGGTCTGTAAACCCATTGTCCAGTCCCCCATTACATCAAGGCTCAGGAACTAGGGATGCCATTGAAAGTACCATCTTTGGTTGTTTGGCTAAACTTCCTTGCTCTTTCCTGAATGCTGGGTAAAAAGAAATGATACTGGTCTGATGATGCTTTTCACACTCACACACACACACGAAATTAAGCCAGAGATCAAGCCTTTGTAGTAACATTAGCATTACTATTCATTATATCTGATTACGCATGGTGTCAAACAAGGAGCAGTATACCACCAATGGGTCCTTGGCTACTAGAATAACATCTAAGAAATGTATACCAACATGGACAAAAACGTATAGAATCATAGAGCTAAAGCTGGAAGGACACCAGAGGTCATCTAGCCCAACCCTTTCATTTTATAGATGAGCGCATGACAGATAGCTTAATAGAAACATTAAGCCAAAATATGACAGCACAGCATACTGACATACAACTCCAATGAGACAGACTTGGATACTAGGGAGAAAATGCCCAGATCGGATGGGTGATGATGAAACAAGCATTTCTTCTCTGATCAATCCAGAAAGGTTTGTTAGAAGAGTTAAGAATTTTAGGAAGTGTTTAAAAGATGGGATGATGGCAGGTGATGGCAGAACACCCATGCAGATGGATGAGCCATTAATTAGATATTCATTGCTTGGGGCTTTGTCTTTGCTTCAGCTGAGGACTCAGGAAGGGGTGGAGAGGTGGTCTATCACAATGTTATTCCCCATATTTTACTCATTCAATTCTATTCTTCTGGGACATATCTCTCCCTCTCATTGAGAGCTTGTGTTAACTTCAACTAAAAAGATATCAATTTTAAAAAAAAAGCTCACTAAATATGGGGCAAGTATGATTATAGGAATCTGATTTGTAAACTTCATATTTTCTGAATACTCTTATAGTTATGCACCCATTATTCAACATCAGATTTCTCTCTTTATCCTATATATCTAGCAAACAGAAACTACACGGAATTGAGAATTTAAAATTTTGATACCCAGCTCATAAGGTCAGTTATTGGCATCTTCAAGAATTTAGAGTATTAGATCTCCATTTATCTTTAATAATATATTTACTCTGGGTGCTTTCTGAGCATCAGTTTATATTTGCTTATTCAGTGAGCTATAATTGTTTTAAGATGCACATACTTTGCAAAGACCTTTCAGGTCTTTCCTTTTTGTGTAGCTCCCTGGTGTACAGTTACTAAAAAAAAAAAGATCTGTGTTATAAATAATGACAACTCTAGCACTTTAAGAGGAAATCAGTTAGATCAGGCGACTTTTAATCTAGGCTACTAATATTATTTTAGTTTGTTCAAAAACAAAACAAAAACCCAACCATAGTCATTGTTATGTATCTGTGCATGTGTGCCCACACACACTCGCATGAGAGACAGAGACAGAGAGAGACAGAGACAAAGACACAGAGAGAGAAGAGAGAGAGAGTATACTTTGAGGTTGCTATGCTGCTGTTTCTAAGTGAAACTTCACTGAAACTGGACAGCTAAGCTTTCATGATTGGTTTCGCTCCATGACTTAGTTTATGTGTTTTCCTTTTCCTGATCAGGGTCTTCCTTCTCTTCTTCATCAGACCCTTCCCCACCAATGAGTTCATTTTTCATATGCAAGTGTGAGAATTGTTTTTGTTTTGTTTGTTTTTTTAATGCTTCAAAACAATCCCATCGCTTAATAAGTTCCCACTTCATTAAAGGGGAGGGAGTAACCACAGCGCATTTAGGATATAAACTCTGTGTCTTTAACTTGCTCCATTGATTAAAAATGAAGGCAAAAAATAGCAGAGCTGAGAAAAAGCAAGTTATAAACATATGTTTTTCCATGCTATAGCACTCAGTAGGATCGGGGGAACCGATCATTTTAATTACTTCAAATTGAACAGAATATTTATATTCCTTCTATATTTTACTTTCTTTTTTTTTCTCTCCTATCCTCACTATTCCCTCCCCTTCCTTTTTCTCTTTGGTGTGTGGCCTTGGACAGAAATTTATGGCAGGGGCCAACCTCCTTTACAATACACACAAAGCTTGAGAGAGTTGTCTGCTCTCTCCCAGAAAAAACACCTGCACTAAGCTCTCCAAGAAACCTGGATAGATGGGAGATTAATGTGGCTGTAATAGCAGAGCAGTGTTTTGGGTATTATGCCCTCTCCCCAGGTAGATGGGCCTTTTCTGAGATGATACCAATTATTTATTGCTGAAACATCTGTTGATAACTGCAGCTGCCCATGTCAAACAAAGCATATCGTGGGGTCACAGGCTCTAGGGACCGAAAAACTCTCCCTCATGCTAGTTTTAGGCCATTCACCGACACCTCCTCCCCCCCTCCAAGTCCATGGGTTACCATCTCTTTAATGTTTCATCCTGCCGGCCAAAATACTTTGTAAACACAGCACTGCCTTGCCCCGTGGGCTTTGAAGTATTATTTCATCTCCGTTGGTAATTTATATTCCGGGGCTATTGTACTGCAGGGGAAAAAAGAGGGAAACCTTTTTTTGTTTTCCATTTATTGTAGATCTCCTGACACTTTGACCTGTATTATTAGTATTAGTCAAGAAAGGGGATTTTCTCTCTCTCTCTTTAAAAATAAAATAAAATAAAATTTCAAGGGAAAGCAAGAGCTCCTTCAGCCCTTTTGACGAGAAACAGTGTTTACAATTTGATAGAAAAAAAGATGAAAAGCATGAGCAACTTTTTTCAAGTGTTGGAGTGAAGAGAGTTCCAGCCTGTGAAAGAAAACAGTAAGAGCTGCATAAATATTATTCAGCAAAACCTTTGATGGCGATCATCAAAACCTATCAGAAGCATCTA